AAAGAAACTAAGTCACTGTGAGGTGAAATGAGGTTTGTTTCTTATCCGCAGCTTGATATCATTAACAACATCTTTGTTAGTAACCTGGCCAACCCACCTTTGTGCAAGAATCATCCTCCAATGGCAGGAGCCATTTACTGGGCACGATCCCTTTTCTACCGCATCAAGCACACGATCGTTCGGTTTCAAGAAGTGGAAGAACTGCTGGCCAGTGAGCGTGGAAAAGAGGTGGGCTGGAGTTTGCTCCACTAATCATAAGCCTTAGTCGGTACTGTCTTATGTGTCAGAGAACCAGCAGGTCAGAAGCTTTTGCGATGGGAAGCTTCTGAATCATTTTGACCACTTCTGTTTGAAAACAAATGTCCTTGTCGGCTGCTCTGACGGCTCTCTCAGACTGGAGAGCGGGATGCAAGCCTTTTAAAGTCAGTACCAACGAGTGCGTGTCGTGCCGACTCGTGTATTTCAGGTGAAACAAAAATACCTTGAAGTGGCAAAGAGGATGAAAGAGTATGAGGATATGAAATACGACCAGTGGAGAGAAAACACAGAAGACAGGCTTCCTGTCTTACTGAAAAAAACTCTCCTTGCCAAAGTTCATCCCTCTGGAGCTATTATTCAGGCTAACTTGGAGACCACAGAGCAGGTGATTAGAGAGCTTTTTCTTTCTTTCTGGGGGCGGGGGGGAGGATACAGCGATTGCAGGGAAGTATCATGAATGTCCGCACCGCTTTATGGCCACCCTTGCTTCTGCCTTCAAACTGTGTTCCGGTCTGTCCTCCTCACTCCGGTGGTTGATCTCCTGGGATGCAGAACCCGCGTTCCGAAGAGGTGGACGCCGGAGAGAAAAGCACGCAATTCACGGTCAACTTTTCTCCCAAACTTCGAGAGATCATCAATGAAACAAAATACATGGAGCACCTGGGGTTTCCTGTGCCTGAAATAGGGAGGAATGTGGCTCTACAGGAGGACAAATTGCTCAGGTAATAAAGGGCTCTTTTGGGAGCCGGCTTGTATCAGAAGCAGTCGGTCCTCCTCCCTTCATGGTCTACTTTGGTGCAAGTCACTCCTCCCACTTCTGATAGGCTGAAGCCGGTTGAAAGACAGGCCCTTTGAATAGGGCAGACACCCTCTCATTCCTGCTGGGTCTTTCCTGCTCAAGACCTTTGCCTTCTTCCATTTAGAGTTTGTTAACCTAGGTTATTATCATTTTTTTAAAAAAGGAGAGAGAGAGTGGAAAGGTAGACTTACAAAGGTAAAATACATGGTATAAGTGCCAGTAGAAAAAGAAAATACAACAAGACCCCTATAATGAGTACCCAGCTTGCTGGGGGGGCAATGTGTAGCCTGCATAATTAAAAATTGTAAACCGCCCGGAGAGTGCTTGTAGCACTATGGGGCGGTATATAAGTCCAATAAATAAATAAATAAAATAAATATCTGTGGGATCGGTATCTGCAGATTCACATATCCATGGTCTGAAAATATTAAAAGAAAAAAACCTAGAAATAGGTATTTCTAAAGAGGAAGTTACCAGAACTGGCCACTAGAGGGAGCCAGAGACCATGCTGTGTATCGTGTTTGCTGTAATCCATGTTTTTCACGCTTTTCACCCCACAGGGGTGGGGACTTGGAATTGACTGAAAAACTCCGATGCAATGCGAAGTCCTTGTTTAGATCCCCCCCCAAGCCATGGGCAGCCATGGTGCCCTTCAACCTCTCCTAGGAGGGGAAGAAGGAACTGCTGAGACGCCCGCTGCCTCATTACCATTTCCTGAATTAAATGACAGGGTGGTGGTCTGGATGAAGCTGCTCTTATCAGTTCACTCTTGCCTCTCTTTTCAGATACACGGATGGCATAAAACAGATGTTGGACCATTATCACAAGTTGATAGGGACTCTGAACGAGGCCGAGGCGCAGCTCCTGGATGAGCACGTGCAGGACCTTTGGCGCGTTTTCCGGTCTGGTTACAAAAGACTCAACTGGAACTCTTTAGGTAAGGCAGCTTCTGTTGTACAACATGTTTACGGGGATGCTTTTCAGTTCAAACGTCTCGGAACTACACGTCATTTTGAAAAGAAATCATGCCATCCTTTAATCCGTTATCTGATTATCTTCTTGCTCTCTGTTCCAGTTTTGCCCTTCGTTTCCTGCGTATTTCAGATATTTTTTCCCCTGGAGTTTCTGGGAGGATCTGGGGTCTAGGATCGCGCAGTTGCCAGGTTTTGCTTCAGCTGTGAAAGCACTGAAATCTCTGGGCATACAGCGGCAGGGCTTCAATTTAGAGAATTAAAAGGTGGCTTTCGGAGGGAGACAAATGGGAGATTTTACTCCAGTGGCATTTAGGTTTTAACATAATTAAGGAAAGGAGATCAGATGGTTGTTGTGGGTTTTTCGGGCTCTTTGGCCGTGTTCTGAAGGCTGTTTTTCCTGATGTTTTGCCCCTCTCTGTGGCTGGCCTCTTCAGAGGACTGGAGTAGGAACTCTGTCCATGCTCTGGTCCTCTGAAGATGCTGGCCACAGAGGCTGGCGAAACATCAGGAAGAACAACCTTCAGAACATGGCCAAAGAGCCCGAAAAACCCACAACAACCATCAGATCCTGGCCGTGAAAGCCTTCGAGAATACATTGAAAGGAGATCAGTTCACAGGTTTGCATTGAGGGCAGAGCCATGACCAGAAATTGGATATTTCCTGAGGTGCGATCCTTTGTAGATCGTTCTTCAACTAAAGATGAAGAAGCAGGAATTCTGCAATTTGAAATGATGTCGTTCACTTAACCATTAGAAAGATTCTTTGTTTTCATTACCACCGTTGGTGTTCATTTTAACTTGAGTGTGTTTGATGGCTACGGTTGTTCCCGCCTTTGGATTGTTCCAATCGTTTTCTTTTGATGGGAAGAGAGTCTGCCGTCTAGAAATATATCGACAATGTGGGCGTATTACCTATACACCAGAAACGCATGCGAAGGTTGCCCGTCAAAGACAAAACAGTGACCTGGATTTACTTTGTGTTAAAGGTATTGGTGATTACATCATGCGATGCACCCAGTCCATTGGGAAGTTTGAATCACTTGTTCATCAGATTCACAAAAATGCCGAGGACATATCCAATAAACTTTTATTAATAGAATCAGCCAATCTTTTCAAAAGCCCCCCTACCAAGGGAGAAGATAATCTTCCTGGTAAGTATGCTCATCGTTGTTAATTTCCAAGCCCTTAATTATTACTATGGTGGAGAAGATGTCCTTCTCTCCCACCCGTTTGGGTTGCTTCAAGCCCCAGTATTTTCCCGATGTGAAGTTCAGAACAGAAACAAACAGCCATTTTAGGATTTAACTCTGGTTTCTTTCCTTTCCAAGAGGAGCTGGAACTGCTTTTTCTCCCTCTTGCTATCAATTGTTCAGCTGTTAAGAGGTTCTTAAAACTGTAGCTTTTGTCAGATATCTCTTAAGGCAGCCTATACAAAGCAGCATCTTTGGAAGGAGCCCTCCGGCAGAAAGGCCGATTGAAAATGAATATTGCCGCTTAAAGGATTCTAAGGGCTTTCTGTGACTTGAGTTTGATGCATATTTTGTTACTCAGCTCCTGAAACAATCCTGGTGGGTTTGACTCTCTCTGAATATCAACTCCAAGGTTTTGTGTGAATTGAGAAGAGCGATTAACAATGAATGTAGATGTTGGTCTTGATGGGCGGGAAATAAATGAATAAATGTGTTTTTTCAAAGTGCGCTCCAGTATATTATTATCTAATGTAGTTCTCTCTCTCTCTCTAATCCACCTGGTCGACAGGAGTGAAAGAATACTTTGAGTATGTGAAGCACGAAAGAATGAAGGATGTGGAACACATGGTCCGCAAATACATTTCCATTGGCCCTCTGCTGACCAAAATGGAGGGGCTCGTTGTGAACACAAATACTGGCAGGGCCCCAAGACTGGTTCATTATTACGCGTTTTGGGAAAAGAAGGTTTACCAGAGCTTAACAAACCTGATATTAAAGTACGTGCGTGCGTGTGCATCCCATTCTCTTCTTCCTTTTTCCCCTTTCGGGTCTGGCGGTTTGCCTTCAGGGTATCCCCCCTGACTGTTCTTTCTCCTCTGTAGAAATCTGCAGTCGTTCAATGCAGCAGTCCTGGGAAACACTCCGCTGTTCCAAGCCGAAACGATTTTATCTGCTCCGGAAATCATTCTCCAGCCAAATACCGGAGAAATCGAGAAAATGTGCATGCACTCCATTCGGGATTGTGTGGAAGTGACCAAGGTGAGAATGACAGAGCAGGCCGGGGCATCCCCATGGACCTTACGCATTAGGGGTTACTAAGGAGGCAGAGGGAGCTGATAGGAAACAGCCGCAGGCAAGAAGGAAGGGGAAAAGGGCAGCAGTGGCCCGGGAGGACCAAGAAGGATCAGAGAATCACAGAATTGGAAGGGGGCCTCTAAGGCCATCTAGTCCAACCCCCCTGCTCAGTGCAAAAATCCAAGTCAAAGCAGATCTGAGAAAGAGGGTGGTCCCATTTCCTCTTGCATGCCTCCAGCTTTGGTTCCATTGTTGTACTGCTCTAACAGTTAATAAGTTTTTTCCAGCCTAAATCTGGCTTCCTGTATCTTGAGCCCATTATGACATGTCCTGCACTTTGGGGTGATCAAGAACAGATCCTGCCCCTCCTCTGTAGGATTACCTTTCAAGGATTTGAAGAGCGCTATTCCATTCCCCTCCCCCCAATCTTCTCTTCTCAAGGCTAAACATGCCCAGATCTTCCAGTCTTTCCTCCCAGGGCTTGGTTTCCAGTCCCCTGAACATCCTTGTTGCTCCCGTTGGTTGGCATCCTTCTTAAGGTGCGACTATGTGATGTCACAACAATGGCCCACCATCACTAACAGCGTTAAGACGCTGGAGCAGTTAAAAGAGCCATCAGAAGAGGGCATTGGTTTAAGAAAGAGAGGGTGGGAGGGAGACTGGAACAGGGCTGGATTGAGAAAGCAGGGTAGGGAAGCTTCCTGAGCCTCATGAAGCTTTGGGAACCTTTCTTTGGACACGCCGTACTCCTTAAGTTGCAACACTACGATCCTAGCTCCTTTCAATTAAGAAAGAGAGGGTGGGAGGGAGACTGGGCTGGATTGACAAAGCAGGGTAGGGAAGCTTCCTGAGCCTTATGAAGCTTTGGGAACCTTCCTTCGGACTCGCCATACTCCTCAAGTTTCAACGCTACGATCCTAGCTCCTTTCACGGAGCGTGGCCCTCCCTGTTGGCGTAATTGGTCCCCCGAGGCCTGACGATCACTTGTTCTCTCTCCCATGCAGCTTTTTGTTCGCTGGATGCACGGCACCTGCATCGATTGCCCCCCGCAGCAGACGGGCGACGATGAGCCCGTCATTTTCAGCTTTTTCAGCGACATCTCCCAGAACCCTTTGATCATAGAACAGGCCATCCTGGTCACCCAGAACATGCACAAGCTCTTGGGCTCCCTCGCCAAGTACTTGAACCGCTGGAAGAGGTATCGCCCCCTCTGGAAGCTCGACAAGGCCATCGTCATGGAGAAGTTTGCCGCCAAGAAGCCCCCGTGCGTCGTCTTTGACGAGAAGCTGCAGTTCTACACCAAGGTGGCCCAGGAGGTGATGCAGCAGCCGATGAGTAAAGACGAGCAGTGCCTCCGTTTGCTGCTGGCCCCCTTGGCGTTCACAGTGCAAGAGAACGCCAAAGGGTGGGTGCATTCCCTCGGGAGGCTGCTCAACGAGTCGGCCAAAGAGGCCCTTTACAGCCTCCAAGAAGCCATTGAGGTAAGATCTGTCCCAGTCTCAACATCTCGTCTGTATGATTGTTGTCAATGTGCCGTCAAGTCACCGTTGGCACCATGAATGAGAGATTTCCAGCTTGTCCTGTGCTCAGCAGCCTTGCTCCACTCTTGTAGACAAATAAAACACATGCCCATGGCTTCCTTTAGGCAGTCAGTCTACCTCGCGTTGGGTCTTCCTCTTTTCCTGCTGCCTTCGACTGTTCCCCTCATTATTATCTTTTTTGTTCCCTAAAAAATGCCGGAGAATGCTTGAGCGTCTTTCCACCGAAAAAAGAGATTCGTAATGACCTTTCCTTTAACATGAACCCTGTTTTCCAGAGATTGTCGCACAACCTCAAGACGGCTCCCAACACCTTGGAAGATCTGAAATTTGTCCTGGGCACCATTGCTGAGATCAGATGCATGTCTTTAGAAGTGGAGCTGAAATATTCGGATATTCAAGAGAGATATCGTACACTGGAAATGTATAACATTCCTGTGAGTGGAATTCCTTTGAGCGCCATTAAATTTAGTGCTTCCCTTTGTTTATTAAATGCAAGAGAACTACAAGGTATCCGGTGGTTTTCCAACCTTGGACTGCAGTTCCCAGAAACCCCAGCCAGCACAGCTGGGGGTGAAGGCTTCTGGGAGTTGCAGTCCTTGAACCCCTGGGTCACTCAAGGTTGGGAACCACAGTCTTCTCTTTGAACCTGTGAGCGTTTGAGGGGTGTCGCTTGTACAGAGGAGACAAAAAACAAGGAGATTAGGTGGGATGAAGTGACAGAATGCCGGTCGGTTGCCGTGGTTTGTAAAAAGCAAAACTTTCTCTCTTAAATAATGTCCCTCTTACGTTGCTCCCTGCAAAACCCAAAGCACCATTGCAGAGAAAGCACCTGATGATCATACGGATCCTTTGCTGGCAGATCCTGTCCAAGATCCATTTCTGAATATGGAAAGTTTCAGGGGCATTACAAAGCAGGCTGGAAGTCACTGGCCAGTCCTTTGTGAGTGGCTCCCCGAGGACGGTGTGGGCCTACACACGAGCAGACCTAGGTTTACGGTCTGAAACCTGTGACACCTCTTCTTCTGATGTGTTTGTCCTTATTCTGTTCTAGATCACAGAAGAGGAACAGCAGCTGGTCGATAAGATAAGGCTCCTCTGGGAGACCCTTTTCTCTGAGGCGTCTGCCGTCGATCACAGCCTCGGAAGTATCAAAAAGACATTTACTGAGGTAGTGTGTTTTAACAGACATAGCGATACAGTGCGTTTGGGGAAGGAAAAGCCGGTCTGATCAGGATCCTCTTCCCTCTAGATCACAAGGGAACAAATCGCGAACTTCAGCAAGGAAATTGATGATTTTTACCGTCGATTTGTGAGCGAAGGCCCTGGTTCTGTGGGCGAGAATCTCGACAGAGGTAAGAGGCAGCGTGTTGTAATATTATCAAGCCGTTGCTGTGGCCCTCCTAACCTTTCCTGTAGGACTACAAACTCCATCTTCACCAGGTGCTTATCCGAGGATGATGCTCCTTGCTGTGGGCTATATTTTCACACACACCCTGAGTTTACTTGTAGGACTACAAACTCCATCTTCACCAGGGGCTTATCCGAGGATCATGCTCCTTGCTGCGGGCTATATTTTCACACACACCCCCTCAGTTTACTGTTCACGGCATCTTTTCCGGCCATCTCCGACACACAACCTTTTGCAGGCTGCTCTTCTCAGGAGGAATAAGGTGCTTAAGACTTCTTTGTAGCCATAGGTTAGGGGAACACCTCTCTGTGTGTTATTTCCGGTGAGTCTAGAGTAGATTCCAGCTTCTCCTGCTCCAGAAATGGGAAGGCGTGCACGTGTTTTATTTTGTCCAAGAGTGTAATGCCTCCATCTTTTTCCATGCCCCTTAGCATCAGCGGCTTTCAAGCTGTTTACCTTTTCTTTCAGACTTTTTGTTGTTAGTGGTTAAAGAAGCCTTCCGGGACCTGCTTTAGCTGATATTACTCAGTCCACAGTGCTATGATCTTTCTTGTTAGAACTCAACAATCTTCCACACTAGAGAATGTTGTAGAACAGTGGTTCCCAACCTGGGTTAACGCAGGTGTTCTGGGACTGCAGCACCCACAAGCCTTCATCACCAGCTGTGCTGGCCGGGGTTTCTGGGAGTTGCAGTCCAAGAACCATTTGGGTTACCCAAGTTTGCAAAACACAGTTGTAAGAGAACAAACCTGAACTTCCTTGCCTGCCTGTGGAAGGGGAATATCAGCGGTGGTGTGCTGGCTGTCTTAAAAGGAAACACACCCGCCATTCCTGATATTCTTGCTCAGGAGCTGCAGATGGATTTCTAGATGTTTCGAGCTGGTGTGGATCATGTTGAAGAAGGCACAGAGCTTCAGTTGTGGGCAACGTCCGGCTGTTTTATTGATGTCCTCTCATCCCCCTCTAGCTGAACATGATTTCCCGTCCCCTGTAGGTTTGGAGCTCATGGTGGTTTTTGAAAAAGAGCTGGAGAAACATGAGAAAAACAGGCAGGAGCTGGCCAACGCCGAGAAGCTGTTCGACCTTCCCATCACCATGTATCCTGATCTGATCAAAATACAGAAGGAGATGAAAGGCCTGAGGCAGATCTATGAAATCTACAAGTTGCAGCAAGTAAGTGTGTTTGGAAAAGAGACCAATTGTTTTTGGAGATGAAGGGGGGAGAAAGAGGGTGGGCTCAGAACCAACGCGCAGCAATGCACCAGCTACTGCGGAAGGAGATCTTTCTGACGGGCGCTTTCCTGGTTCCAGGCTGCCAAAGAGGAATGGTCTCAGACTTTGTGGGTGAACCTCAACGTGCAGGTGCTGCAGGAGGGAATCGACGGGTACCTGAAAACCCTCCGCAAGCTACCCAAACATGTCCGGAGCATGCCCGTCGCCTACCACCTAGAAATGAAAATGAAGGCTTTCAAGGACTCCATTCCTTTGCTGCTCGATTTGAAGAACGAAGCGTTGAGAGAAAGGTGGGATTGCGTTCCCTCCTTCCGGGTGGCCTCTGTAGATACGTGGAAGCTGAGCAGTTCAGCCATTGGAAGCGGCTGCACCCTGGTAGACACCTCCTTTGGGTGGTCTAATCGGTCAAAGCTGCCGATGTTTGTTCTTCTCTGCTGTTTTTGAAATGGGGCATTAAATATGAGAATGGTCCTAAGAAAAAGTGGCTCGTGAGGTTGACGAGGGCAAAGGGCGGGGCGGTCTTGACGGTGCCGCCTGTGTTCGTGGGGCCTCCTTTGTGCCGCTCGGTGCCCTTAGATGCCAGCCATTGAGAAATGTTTTAAAACATAGTCATTCAAACAATCATTTCCTGGGTACATGTTTCAGGGACTTCCATCTTGGCTTCATTCATGCCATTTTGATCGTGTTGCGTTTGTATCTGTATGAGCAGTGAGGATTATTCCCTTGGTGTCAAGGTTGGTCAGCTGTCTCTGGAGGGAGTGGTCTGAAAAGCGGGAAGCGAATGTATCGGTGGAAGAGACTGTGGGGGCAGCGTTCAGATCCTAGCCCTCCCCCTATGCCGGAATCATTTCAGTCTGAAGGGAGGTTCATTCATTCATCAATGGTGCCATTCCTCTGTCAAAAATCTTTCAGGCACTGGAAAGAGTTGATGTCTCGGACAGGCACCAGTTTCGATATGGCCACGGAAACGTTCACGTTGGAGAACATGTTCGCCATGGAGCTGCACAAGTACAGTGACGTCATCAACGAGATCGTGGGCTCGGCTGTCAAAGAGCTCAGCATTGAGAAGGTAACCTTCCCTCCACCTTTTGGTGTTTGGAGATTTCTCTGCTGCCCGAACGAGATTGCAGAGGGTTTTGGAATGTGCTGAATGTATTTCTTTGTCGTTTTGCTTCTGGAAAAAACAAAACAACCAACGTAGGGCGTGAAGGAGATTGTGGAAACCTGGGAGAATATGAAGTTCACCGTACAGAGGTATTTTAAGGGCACTCAGGAACGAGGCTTCGTTTTGGGGGCCGTCGATGACATCGTCCAGATCCTGGACGACAACGCCGTCAATCTCCAAAGCATCTCTGGCAGCCGATTTGTGGGGCCGTTCCTGGCGACGGTTCACAACTGGGAAAAAACTCTCTCTTTGATTGGCGAAGTGATTGAGGTAGGGAAGCTAGGTCGTTTGCCCATGCCGTTTGCTACCGTTTGCCGCTCAGCGGTCTCCCGTTGTTTCCCCCCACCCCCTTTGAAGAAATGTTTAATTTTTTCCTCCTGCAGGTTTGGATGATAGTCCAGAGGAAGTGGATGTATCTTGAAAGCATCTTTATCAGCGGAGACATAAGATCTCAGCTACCCGACGAAGCAAAAAAATTCGACAACATTGACAGGATATTTAAAAGGGCAAGTTGCAGAATACGATGAGGAGAAACTGGGGGGGGGGCGAATACGAATAGCGAACCCGCTTTTAACGCAGGCCGCTATCAAAGCTCAGAGGACACCATCAGCCCGCCAGAAAGAGCTCAGCTTCTCTACCTTTTGTTCCTTGCAGATCATGGCGGAGACGGTCAAGGAGCCAATAATAAAGAAGTGCTGTGAAGCCCCCAATCGTCTTTCCGACCTGCAAAATATAAGCGACGGGCTGGAGAAGTGCCAGAAAAGCTTGAACGATTACTTGGATTCCAAGAGAAATGCTTTTCCCAGATTCTTCTTCATCTCGGACGATGAGCTGCTGAGCATTCTGGGCAGCAGCGACCCGCTCTGTGTTCAGGAACACATGATCAAGGTGGGAGACCGGAGGGGGTGTGTGTCCGGGAACCCATTCGTAATCCTTCTTCCCGTTCTGCCCTTTTTGCAGGAGTGGGCAGTCCCTGGGTGTGTGAGAAAGGAGGTGGGGAACCGTGGGATTGGAAGGCACCACTCTCCACGGGGGGTCGCAGGAATGATCCATACCTCCCATTCCTATCTTGCGTTAGCCAAAAAGACACTTAATGTGAAATCAAAGGATGTAAGGTATATGGCGATACTGGTTAGGTGGCTTTAAAAGGATATCAGACAAGGATGTGGAGGATAAACATAGTTAAAAGGAAATCAGACAAGGATGTGGAGGATAAACATAGTTGTAGCAGTTGGCCATGATAGCTGAGTGGAAGTTTCATATCTAGAGGAAAAAGGTTTCTGAATTCTGGTTTCTAGGGAGCTGCAGTGGGAGAAGGCTGTTGTTTTAATGTCCTGAGGAGAAGCAACTTACTCTAGCCGCCGTGGAAATCAAGATCTCACCCGTGATTCTCTGAATCATGTTTGTAGGTCCAGGTTTAGAACTAGAATTCCTGTTATTGGGAAGGAGAAATATCCCAAGAGCTGAATAGCTGGAAGCATTATTCTCAGTCACAGGGCCGAAGAACCATCAGAAAGAGGATTTAAACCACCCTGTGGTTGAAGATCACTGAGTCTGATGTTCCTTCTCTAAAAAATGTCCTGAATGTGGAATCCTTTCCCCAGAAGGGTCATCACACTCGGTGATCCGGCTTTCAACCTAAAAGTGACTCAGTTGTTTCCTGGCTTCTGGCACAGACTCTGTCCGACTTTCCATTCTCAGTGTTTTTCTGTTCCTCCATGATGTGCGTCCTCTGCTTTGAAGATCAATCCAAGGCCGTTCCTTTACACCAGCTAGTCAAGGATGAAGGCTTGCATCAGGAAGACCTTTTGTATGTAATAGTGTGGATGCCGTACTTTTTTTCTGAGTGGTAATCATTTACGTTTCAGATGTATGACAATGTAGCCGCCCTGAGATTTCAAGAAGACGACAGTGGTCTGAAGATAGCCACCGCTATGATTTCCGCTGAAGGGGAAGTGATGGAGTTCCGGAAAGCCGTCCCAGCTGAAGGCAGGGTGGAGAACTGGATGACGGCGGTGCTTGTTGAAATGAGGAGGACCAACCGGTTGATTACCAAAGAAGCCATCTTCCGGTACTGTGAAGACAGAAGCAGGTGAGACCATCAAATCCAGCACATTTGGGTGAATGAAACGAGAAAACTTGAAGTGTTATTTCAACGGATGTCTTCATATCAGCTCTTGAATCTATATTCCTGGCCCCCCAATATGGCTGCCGTGCAAGTACCAGCATTCTTGGGGACTAGTGTGAGATATTTATGCCCCGGGATCCCAAATGGCAGGGAAGCAGGAGATTCTCCATCTCTGGAAGATAGCATTTTGGCCTGAGTTGTACGTCCCATTTCTTTTGGAAGGCAACGCCTATCCAAATTAGTTCCTCCAGGTCTGGTCTTCTCTTAAGTCTTAAAGGGATGTGAGCAAAATATTTATCTCCAAGTTACATAACAAAAGCAAGCTAATGAGTGGGTTCAGGCCAGCTCCTGTTAGATTAGACAGTCTTTTACTTCTTAACAGAGCTCTGCATCTAATGATGTGTTAACTGTTTAGTTCACTTTGGCCCTTAGTTCCAGTTTGACCCTGAGACCTGTACCCAAATGAGAACCATATCAAACACCCTCAACCTGCTCCAGAAATGTGAAGGCTCTTGAGAGAGAGTGGGGTTTTGTGATTCCCTTGTCTTCCGCGAGTACTGAGTATTTTTGCGTTTATAGAACATAACACCCAATGCGGCTGAAGTCTAAACTCTTAGATGTCATATGAACTCTTCCATCAGTAAGGTCCCTTCCCCCTTTTTAGGGTTGACTGGATGTTGATGTACCAAGGCATGATGGTGCTGGCGGCCAACCAAGTCTGGTGGACCTGGGAGGTGGAGGATGTGTTTCGAAAAGTGAAGAAGGGCGAAAAGCAGGCAATGAAGAACTATGCCAAGAAGATGCACCAGCAGATCGACCAGCTCGTCACGCGAATCACCAAGCCGCTCAGCAAAAACGACCGGAAGAAATACAATACTGTGCTCATCATTGATGTCCACGCCAGGGATATCGTTGATACGTTTGTGAGAGACAGGTAACGGCCGGCTGGAGAAGAAGGCTGGAATTAGGATGGATGTAATTAGGGCAGAATTCGGCTGTGCTCTTGTAGAGTTTAGTGCTTCCCTCATTCTCCTGGCTGTCTCGGGTTTAAATTGGAACCCTTGAAATCAACTCTTGAGGTTCTTTTCTTTCTCTGAGTCCCTCCTCGATTTCCAGTTTGCTCTTCTGACCATCTCTCTTTGCGATATTCCTGCTGGTGCGTCAAGATGATCAAGGTAGCTTTTGTATGTACGCGAGATGTGCTGTCGCATCTGGCTTATGGTGTCCCTAATAGGATTTTCAAGGTGTGTGAGATATTTAAGGAGTGGTTTGACCGATCTCTACCCCCAGTGATGATCTACAGCCCAGTGGATATTTCATCCCGGGTCTCCCTGTCTCCATTGCCTTATCTTGTTCCTCTTGATGAGAGTGAGATATTTAAGGAGTGGTTTGACCAATCTCTACCCCCAGTGATGATCCAGTGGATATTTCAACCCGGGTCCTCCTGTCTCCATCTCTTTATCTTGTTCCTCTGGATGAGGCCTCTCCTATTATCACACCTTTCATAGCGCTCTTAAATGTCTCCCTCTTTAGCATCATGGACGCTCGTGAATTTGAATGGGAAAGCCAGTTGCGGTTTTATTGGGATCGAGAACCGGATGATCTCAACGTCCGTCAGTGCACGGGGACCTTTTCTTACGGCTACGAATACATGGGTTTAAATGGACGGCTGGTCATCACGCCACTCACAGACCGGATTTATCTAACCCTCACACAGGTAAAGGTGGCTCTTTTATGGAGCTGCAGCACCTTTCGCGACCACAGGAAAGTAAAGTAGATGTTAGAGAACATCTACACCAAGCGCTGATTTTACAAAGCTTCTCTTTCTTTAGTGGATAGCTTGGAATACAAGACGTAGGCAGGGTGTCCCTTCGGAGATATGCATGCCAGCGGCTGTGATTTCCAACCTATGGAGTGGCTTCCACCATAGCTTGGCCACATTTCTTTGACCAACCCACTGCTGCTGGTCGGTCAAAGGTGCTGAGGATTGTCTTGTGGTGTTTTAAATGTCGTTCCTGTCATTAGAGTGGGAGAATTCTTTGGGCGCTCACCCTGTTCTCCCTTCTGATGGGGTTGATTTCACAGGGGCTCTTTTGTATCATTTCCATGAAAAACATTTTGATCAGAGATAACTGCAGATTCATGCGGACGGTGGCCCTGTCTCTTAGAGGTGACTTCGAATTCCATCGAAGACGGTGGCGTTTCCCCAGCTTTAATTGCCACTATTCTGGGTGGGTTTTGCAGCCATTCCGGTGGGAAGTGCACTCTCCCCTTCAGAACCAATTCCCCTCTACCGTGCTTCTTTCTCACCGGCAGGCCTTGTCCATGTATTTGGGAGGAGCTCCTGCAGGCCCGGCAGGAACGGGGAAGACCGAGACCACCAAAGATCTGGCTAAAGCCCTGGGTTTGCTCTGCGTCGTCACTAATTGCGGGGAAGGCATGGACTTCAAGGTAGGAATATCCGCCCACTGTGCATTTTCCTGCTTTCTGTACAGGAGGAAACCCCCACCCTACCCCATCCGAGGGATCCGTATCTGCGGATTTACTCATCCGCTGCCTGAAAATATTAAACTACCCTCCCCGAAATAGGTATTTATATGTATTTCCATGGTGTATTTAACAGAACTAGCCACTAGAGGGAGCCAGAGACCCAGGCTATGTATAATGTTCATTATTTGTGCATTTTTTTCTTTTTTTGGCTTCTGTGGAAAGACTTAGAACAGGTCACCCGGTGGACACCATGGCCCTACTGTATTCTCCCCCCCCAGCAGTGGCTGAAAGCCATTAGGCACCCTATTGTCCACCATATAAAACAAAAATAAATTTTACAACTGCAAGCACCTTATGGCCCATGACTCAGCCCCTGAAAGCAACACAGAGAAGATGACCCTCGTTTTAATCCTTTTCTCTCTCTCTTTTGCCTTCTAGGCAGTAGGTAAAATCTTCTCTGGCCTTGCCCAGTGTGGGGCATGGGGCTGCTTTGACGAGTTTAATCGCATCGACGCCTCTGTGCTTTCGGTCATCTCCTCGCAGATTCAGATGATCCGAAATGCTCTGATGAACCAGCTGAAGACCTTTCAGGTAAGGAAGGAAGGAAGAAAAACTCTGCAGAGGAAGGACGGCGTTTAGACCCCAGGAACCTTGACAAGGAGCCCCCGCTTAGGTTGGGAGAAGCCTGATTCCTTCCTTCTGCGAGGCATCGGCCAGATTTTGACTTGGTTTCTGTGTTTCAGTTTGAAGGACAAGAAATTACCCTTGATCCCCGAATGGGCATTTTTATCACCATGAATCCAGGCTATGCCGGTCGCACCGAACTTCCTGAATCCGTCAAGGCTTTATTCAGGCCGGTAGTTGTCATTGTGCCTGACCTCCAGCAAATCTGTGAAATCATGCTGTTCTCCGAAGGGTTTCTTATGGCAAAGGTGGGTTTGCTTTATCACAAAAACTGGAAGTCACAGATGCAGTCGGTCTGCTCAGTTGCCCAGGGTCTTATGTTTTTAATATAATGTTGTTAAATCTTCTTTAATATTTGAATCGTTTTTCATGATGTTGGGTTCCTTTTTTTTTTTGGAGAACGTTTTGTCCTGGGGTTCATTCACGCCTTTGAATTGGATGTGTTTTAACTGAATTGGCGCCTAGAGATTTATTTATTTATTTTTATCGGTCCCTTTAATTTATATACTTCCCCCATTAATGCTAAGGCACTATTCTGGGTGGTTTTGCAAAGAATTAAAAACAGAGCTTCATGACAAAACACTAAAGTATAACACAGATCGCAGCCGTGTGACCAGAGCATTAGGAAAAATGAAACGAAACAGCGGCACCAAGAAATTATCACAGGAAAGTGGCACCGGAGGCAAAATGCTCAGCCGGTGGGGGGGCAGATTGATGAAAAGAAGTGTTTCCAACTGTCTCCTAAAAGAATAGCGGGAGGGGGCAGATTCCACAGCCCCAGAGCCACCACCAAGAAGGCCCCGCCTCTTGTCGATGACTTTTGAGGCTCTCTTGGGGTGGCTACTGGGAGGAGCCTAGCTTGGGACGATCTGGTGGGCTGGGCAGATGGCACTGGGGGACAGAGGCTCTAACAGTTAACGAGAGGTGCGCAGGAGGCTTCTCATTTGTAAGGGAGCGTCTGTGATTCGTTCTCTTGTTTTCTCTACCAGACCCTGGCAAAGAAGATGACCGTCTTGTACAAACTGGCCAGGGAGCAGCTTTCGAAGCAGCACCACTACGATTTTGGGCTCCGGGCCCTGAAGTCGGTGCTGGTGATGGCCGGAGAGCTGAAGAGAGGCTCCCCAGATCTCAACGAGGTGAACCTCACGGCCGTGGCGGGGGAAGATTTCCTGCTTGTTTTTCTGCATACCCACTCTGGAGCCCGGTTTTCCTTCACGAACTTCCTGGCTAGACCCACACGCGTGGGAAGAGGGACCAGCTGTTAACGATGCCTCTAGAAACCCTCAAAGGTGGCTTTACTCAAGAGTCGTCTGGCCTAGATTTCAGTCTGCTGGGACTCCCCCCTCCAAACATACCTTAGCATCATTAATGGATGATATTTTCAACCTGCGATATAGCAGATGATGTCCTACTCTATAGAGTTTGATGACCTATGTCACCACGTTAGACACCTTCCCCTGAAATAGATTAAGGGTTCATCCGTCCTTATGTTCTTCTAGGCTACCAAACACTAGGGAGGCGTTGGTATTAGGGCCAAAACAATCCCAAAAGTGGGATGAGCACATTTTGCACAAAATAATAGCAACAATGAAAAAAAACTGAGCCATAGGCAAGGTTCTAGCAAGAACAAAGATATTTGTAAAATTCGTAAAAAAGGCTTTGTGTAACACCCATTGTGGTGATGCCAAAGAACATGTATAATATGACTTTTATTTATCTCAGCCCTCCTGTTTCCTGTATGCTTTTTTCTCACCTAAAATGGACAGAACGGGTTTGTGGTGAAGCAGGCAAGATATTTGGTAGAGCCACTTTCCCTCCAACTGTGTTTTATGCCTGGCCTCCCATTCTCCCCCCCCCTTTCCCAGTCATTCCAATAAGTTTAGAATAGACTTGCAAATCCATGAGCAGGAGGGAAAATACTCTTTAAAAACGGGATTGAAGAAGAACAAGCCTGGAACACCACATAGCAATTCGCCTTTGCATCTAATTAATACGGCCAGATAAGCTTGTTCATTGCCTTCCAAATCAGTTTCACTCCCTTGGCTTGCCGGAACGACTTTGCTCATGAGAAATACAGTATTACAGTGTAATTTCAGAGGGTGGTTATATACGCCGTGTGAGGGAATAAAAAGCAACTGAATTGTGGAGTGGAGGTGGGTGGAAAATGTTTAAGAAAGACCATTTCTTCTCTTCCCCCCCCTTCTGAAATATTAACTCTGGGCCTTTTATCTATCTTTGCTTCTCAACCACTGTTATCTAGGACGTGGTCCTGATGAGAGCTCTTCGAGACATGAACCTCCCAAAATTCGTTTTTGAGGACGTTCCTCTTTTCCTCGGCCTGATCTCCGACCTGTTTCCTGGACTGGATTGCCCTCGGGTGCGCTACCCTAAATTCAACGATGCTGTTGAGCACGTGCTGGCAGAAGGAGGCTACGTGGTTCTGCCCATCCAGGTATCAGGGTGTGTGTGTGTCGAAGGGGAAACTGTTTGGCATGTGTCGCTCGGTCTTGGTGTTGTGATGTGAAGCCGCCTCCTTGGAAGTCCGTGTGTATGCCATTGAGGTCTTCCTTTCAGCCCACGTCATAGCGGGGAAGAAAAATTGGGATTGCAATCCCTTAGGACCTTCTGTCTCATCGGAGCGCTCTTTGATATTAAATTCCATTCATTAACGGTGCTCTTGATCGTGTTCATTTTGGGAAAAAAGTGGCTGATGTTGAGTGTTTTCTTCTTCAGGTGGATAAAGTGGTCCAGATGTACGAAACGATGTTGACTCGCCATACGACCATGATTGTCGGCCCAACTGGCGGTGGGAAGTCCGTGGTCATCAACACCTTGTGCCAGGCCCAGACCAAGTGAGTTCAGGCCATGCCAAGGAGCAGCTTTAGTCTAGTTTAGCCATGATGCTGGAGGATGATGAGAAGATGCCCTCCACGTTCCTAGGCAGGCTCCCAATACGTTTGGCCATCCTGAGAAGTTAAGTCCTAATTTCAAGCGCAGTCCGAAACCTCCATTTTAGGAGTCAAATGTGTTTCTTGCAAGCTTTCTTCCTAGATCTTTGAAAGGAGTTACATTTTTGGAGTACGGTTCCTATACCCTACCAACCAGCACAAACTTTGGCCAGGCTGACGGGGAGATTCTGGCCCTTGTGCTTCAAAATGTGTTATTTCTAAGTTGTTCTTCGTGGCCTCCATGAATGTTCTGGAGGCACCCAAGGGGTCGCTGTGGGAAGCCTTTCTCTGTTTTTACACTTTTCCTTCCTGACGGCCTCCCTCCTGTTGCCCAATCAGGCTGGGATTGCTGACCAAGCTTTACACGCTGAACCCCAAAGCCATGAGCGTCATTGAGCTGTACGGCATCCTTGACCCCACCACCCGAGACTGGACGGACGGCGTCTTGTCCAACATCTTCCGGGAAATCAACAAGCCCACCGACAAAAAAGAGAGAAGGTGATCCCTAGGAGTGCCAGTGGGTGGTTTTCAGTCTGAGACTTATGCAGCATTTTTGGTGGGCCGAGCAGCTCCTAAGGCAGGGGTGTGTGGTTTTCAGTCTGAGACTTATGCAGCATCTTTGGGTAGGTCTAGCAGCTCCTAAAGCAGGGGTGCGCCACCTTTGGGTCACACAGGCGCTCCCCTAAGCCTTGAGCCAGACCTCTTGGTTCTCGTGTCTCTGTGTGCGTCCCCCTGCACTTGCAGAACATGCTGATTTCTTGGCCCCATAACCAACACCTAATGTGGCACTCACAAACCAAACGTGGTGTGACCGCCATCCAGGGTGTGTGTGTGTGTGTGTGTTCCTGTTACACTTTGTAAGAATGCAATAAAGGACTTGTGACCCGCTCTTGTTCTTCAGAAGAAGAAAAAACTTTGGGGTGAGACAAGGCAAGGAGGAGTAAAGGTCCCTGAAAAATGCCACAACAGACACAGGGCTCCTTAACAAAAGAGAGAGAATAATTAAAAGATGACAGATTTTGGCATTCAACTTTCACTTTTCAATAGAATCTGTTTCACCCTTTCCAAGTCTCTTTCTTTAATGCTCCCAATAACGTCCTTTCGGCCCCGTGGAAGGGTGCAGGTAAAATCAAACTAGATGTAAACTGCTTTGAAGATGAGCTATGTATAAGTGCCTTTTTATCGGTGTGCACAGATACATCTTATTTGATGGAGATGTGGATGCTCTCTGGGTAGAAAACATGAATTCTGTGATGGATGATAACAAGCTGTTGACCTTGGCAAACGGGGAGCGAATCAGGCTTCAGACACACTGTGCCCTCTTATTTGAGGTAATGAAATTCCATACAAACTTTGGAAACAAATTTCATTCATTCATTCATTCATTCATTCATTCATTCATTCATTCATTCATTCATTCATTCATTCATTCATTCATTCATTTTTTCTCATTCAAACATCCTGCTTTCCCTCTGATGACCTCAAACTAGCTTAAAGATGAGTCCAGGCAGTTGTTTGTCCATCAGCTTTGTTGGGCCAAACTTGCTTAGCCCTGGCATTAGAACCATGGCCTGCTTGTCTTCCAAACAGTCCCCTTTAGCGCACGTGATTCTTCCTGCTTGCTTGGGTGGCAGGGCTATGCAAATGATTCAGTGCTCGGCCCCGGGAGGAGCTTCAACCAATTCTCATTGTGACTGCTTCGAAGCAAAGTGTGCTCCTTTTGTAATGCTCTAGAGTGCTTTCGGCCCCGGGAGGAGCTTCAACCAATTCTCGTTGTGACTGCTTCGAAGCAAAGTAAAGCGTGCTCCTTTTGTACTGCCCTGGAGTGCTTTAAAGCACTCTCTGAACAGTTTGCAATGTAATTATACAGGAAACACATTGCCCCCCCCAGCCAGTGGGTACTCAGTTTGCTGACCTCAGAAGGTTGGCCTGAGTCAGCCTTTAGTCATCTACTTATGCCTGTTGGGATCGAACCCAGGTCCCGAGGAGAATCTTGACTGCAGTACTGCAATTTAGCCATTGTGCCATGAAGCACCTTCAAAGCAACTGAACCTCTACAGAGGTTTTTCTTGTGTGTGTGTGTGGTTTCTTTTTGTTTTCTTGCAATGTCCTTCAATGTCTCGAAGGACCGACTGATAGCACAGAACCTCTTGAGCAGCAGACCTTCTGTTTTCTAGGTGGGAGATTTGCAGTATGCCTCACCCGCTACGGTGTCCCGCTGCGGGATGGTCTTTGTGGACCCAAAGAATCTGAAGTACCGACCTTATTGGGAGAAATGGTCAAACCAAAGGAGTAAGGTAAAAAAAAGGAGTCCTTGTTTAAGAGTGCAAAATGATCCATGTAACTAATTTCTGTTCTGTTATTTAAACACATTGAGCCACAGTCCCAAAGGAGGAAGTTCTTGGCCATGAAAGCTCACGTTAAAAAAAAATACAAAAGTTAATCTTTTAAGGTGCCAGCACATTTTTGTCTTTTTTTTGCTTTTTCATGTTTCATTTTGTTTTCACCAATAAGGGAGGAAGCATTTATGGGTCCCGTGCAAGAACAGAACAGGGCAATTAAAGTTTGGAATCCTTTTGCTCTCTTCTCATTCCTCAGCAAGAACAACAGCTGCTGAACAGGCTGTTTGATAAGTACGTCCCCTATCTGATCGAAATGATCGTGGAAGGAATTGTCGATGGGCGGCAGGGGGAGAAACTGAAGACCATCGTCCCACAGACAGACCTAAATATGGTAAGAAACGCTGGCTTTGTTGATCAGCCAAACCGGGGCCGGGGAAGAAGAAGTTCAAGCCTGAGAATCGGGTTCAGAAGGATGTACTAACCCTGCTTCAAAAGGTCGAAGCAGCCCTAGTGTGTGACTGTGGTTTACACAGAGAGAGAAGTCAAATGGGAGAGCAGATCCCAAATCATGTATCATGATTTCGTTAACAGTAAGAAACAACCCAACCCGGTCTAGGACAGGTCTGGGAAATGTCTGGCCCTCTAGATATTCTTGGATTGCACTTCCTATCTGCCTTTGGCATCGTAGTTGGGGGTTAGGGATCCTCAAAGTTGTTGTCACATGATCTGTGGAAGGTCACATATTTCTCTCTCCTCATCTGGTACACCCTGGGTGGGGTCTTTAAAGATCACGGCTGTCCCTAAAGTTACAGAAATCTTATCAGAACGGTCACCAAAGTTGAAGAAATCTTCATTGACTAATCACACATCCGGGGAAACGCCATTCAGGCTCTTTAAGCTGTTGTGCAGAGGCTAACCTTCTTGCTCTGTATTTTTCTTTCGGCAGGTGACCCAGCTGAGTAAGATGCTGGATGCTCTCCTGGAGGTGGAGACCGATGACCCTGACGTGCTGGAGTGCTACTTCCTGGAAGCTTTATATTCTTCCTTAGGAGCTTGCCTTCTCGACGCCGGGAGATCAAAATTCGACGACTTCATCAAACGCCTCTCCTCTATGTCGACCGTTAATGATGAAATGACGCTTGCGAAACCAGGAGAGCTTCCGGGTGAGATTTGCTCCACTTTTCTGGGGGCCCAACGGGTGTTTGAACGGGACCTCCTCCATCTTGGACAGCTGGAATCACTGGGTGGGGGGATGCTCGGCCTTTCTACCCCTCCTGTGCTCTTTTACTGCGTCCTCTTCCTCAGTGGAGGGGGGGCGGCGGCAAGGGGAATACAGTTGTCCATGTGATGCCAGGATCCGTGCTCTAACACACAGGCAGCCTTCCAGAGGGCAAGTGGAGAAGGGGGCACATCGCCTGTGGGAAAAGCAGTATTAGGGGTCTAATTCAGAATGGCAACAGAGAATCATACAGCACCATTAAGACTAATGTGTTTTATCTGGCCTAAGCATTCATAGACTCCAGTACAGCACCATTAAGACTAATGTGTTTTATTTGGCCTAAGCATTCATAGACTCTCTGTTTTGAAACCCACAACATTATTTGACCTATTGCTCGTCTATTGTGAGTTCTGCTCTTATGTCTTTTTTTTTTAAATCTTCAGGCCAGCTTCCAACTTTATTTGACTTCCACTTCGAGGGGCAGATGAAAAAGTGGGTGCCTTGGAGTAAATTGGTGCCTGAATACGTTCATTCCCCCGAAGTGAGATTTATTGACATTCTGGGTAAGCATGAATTAAGCATGACTTAATCTGTCAGGGGCAATTAGCCACACCAATTAGTCGATTACAGCTCGCAAACCTCTAATCTAAAAGGTTATGGAGGGTCTGAATGGCTAAATGGACATGTGAGAGGATGGGTTTAATGGATGGCATTGAAATCCAAACAGCAAAAAACACTGCAGTTTGGATTTAAATTCCACTTCTGTGTTCTTCATTCTACGAAACATTGGCCTATGAATTCTTCTCTACTAGAGGTGTTCCTCCCTGCATCCTTCCCATTGATTGAAAAAGTACCCAAGTTAAAAAGGGCTTTGTTGAGTCTGTTCTTATTTTTCTCTCTCGGAGGATAAATTAGCTACAGTAGGAGGGAAAGCTGAAATTACAGATAGATTGATTTCAAGGCATGTTGGGACAAACAAAGGCTTGTAGATGTAGCTGGGAAGCGCTTGAGTGCTCTGTTCCCTTTTGGATGAGGCCCACATAGATTCAAGCATGGGGAAGGCCAGTATCTCCGAGGCCCTGTTGTCTGGGATCCTGTGAATTGAATTTTGCAGCCGGTTAGACACGTGTATTCTGTGCCCATTGACACGTCTCTCTCAGACTGTTTAGGCAGAATGGCTCACGCTGGAATTCTAAATCATTCGAAACTTCCCCTTTAGTTCCCACGGTGGACACAACCCGCACCACCTGGCTGCTGGAGAAGATGGTCAAGATCAAACATCCGGTTGTGCTCGTTGGCGAATCGGGGACCTCCAAGACGGCCACCACGCAAAATTTTCTCAGAAAACTGAACCCAGACACAAACGTAAGGCTGTAGAGGCTACGTGGTAATGTTTGTGTTGGCTTTTTTTCTCTTTTTCCCTCCTGGATCGTCTGTGTTGAGGGAGGACTTGTCTTCTGCGAGAAGAGCAGTGCTTCCCTAGGAGCATAAGGCTCGGTTTAGCCCCTGATTAGTAGGAAATGCCATCTCCGTAGATGGATTAGGCAGAAATATAGACGGAGCACAAATCTTTCGGTGCATCATCCTGCACTCAGATCCCTTTCATCCGTTGCAGCCTTGGCTGAGTGCCGGGTGCTGCTTAAATCTGGTGGAACCCCTTGGCGGAAGCCTTCGTGGCAGAACGGCCCTGTTTCCTTTTCTTATTTCAGGTGCTGCTGATCATTAATTTCTCCTCTCGCACCACTTCTATGGATATTCAAAGGAACTTAGAAGCAAATGTGGAGAAACGGACCAAAGAGACCTACGGGCCCCCTATGGGAAAGCGCCTGCTTGTCTTCATGGATGATATGAACATGCCCAGGGTAAGGAGTCAGACGGTCTGCAACGGAAGCCCAGAAGAGGTGGGAGTGCGTTCCTCGTGGTGCGAGAGCCGCACAGCCGAAGGGGAGCAGCGAGGGTTTATTGACAGTCAAGGAACTTCAGAATGTAAGGATTGTTGCTCTGGGTCAGGTCAAGGCCTCTGTTCGTCAAGCATCCTGTTTCCCACAACAGTCACCTCACGAGTAGAACAGGTGACCACAAGGGGGCTCTTTGGTTTGTTCCAAACTGAAAGAAACAGAAGCAACGCCAAAACACATTCAAAGCGCTCCATTTAAAAAACCCCTTTTTTAGGCCACCGTCCCGGAGGGAAAGCTGCCTGGAGGGAAAGGTCTTGGCCTGCTGATGGAAGGACAGCCAAGACGGGGGCCTGGTGGGCCTCCAGTGGGAGGGAGTTCCAGAGTCTAAAGGAGCAGCCCCCGAGAAGGCCCGTCTCCCAGGTCCCTCACCAAGGGCACCTTTGAAATGTGGGGTAGCTCTCCTTTGGGATAGCCTGGACCTAAGCCACTTAGGGCTGCATAGGGTTAGATCCAGCGCTTTGAATTACGCCTGGAAGCAGATCGGCAGATCGGGGAGCTGCTCTTTTATGAACGCAGTTAGTAGCCATTGCAAAGGAATGTCTGGCCTGAGATCAAGGCTCAGCAGCTCCTCTCTCTCCCCTCTAAGTGTTTTTATCTCTGTGTGGCCCAAAGGTGGACGAATATGGGACTCAGCAGCCGATCGCGTTGCTCAAGCTGCTCTTAGAGAAAGGTGCGCTGTACGATCGGGGCAAGGAGATGAACTGCAAATACCTCCGAGACCTCGGCTTCGTGGCGGCCATGGGCAAGGCCGGAGGCGGACGGAATGAAGTCGACCCTCGCTACATCTCCCTCTTCAGTGTGTTCAACGTTCCTTTTCCTTCCGAGGTGTCCTTGCACTTGATTTACGCTTCCATCTTGAAAGGGCACACGTCGGTAAGTGGAACGATTTGCGCAAAAAGAGGTGGGTTATGGAATTGTTGACAGGACTGTGCAGAATCTAAAGGCTCGGGCTTTTTAGAAAAACAGCGCGGAATCTCATCTTCTACTTTGTCATCTGTTATTGATACAGATCTCTCTCCTTTTAAACATTTTTTAAAAAATTGTTTTCAGTGGTTTCTAAAGAAAACTTTTGCAAAGGAAGAGACCGTTCTCGAAAGATTTAAATCGCACTCTGTGTCAAAAATTGCCTTTTGGAATCTTTCAAATAAGCCTCTCCCTAAAACTCATTACCAATTGGAAGGCCAAGTCCATTAGCAACTTTGAATCCTACTGACAACCCGGAAGGCGGAGAGAATCCTTTCTCTAGTATATTTTCATAAAACCACGGGGTTTAAAAAAGAGAACTGTGGATCAGGGGTAGAACTAATCACTGAGCATGTTAAGAGTTCCCTGTGAAGGCCTCTCTGTGGCAGAGTCTTATCTATATAGGATTGTTTGTGATGGGCGACACCGCAAGCAAAACTAAGTTTCAAGTAGAACATTTTTGGCACTAGAAATGCCTCCCCCCCACACTCCCCATTCTTGTGTTTCTAGACTTTCCAAGAAGCCATTGTGGTCATGGTGGACAAGATGACCACCTGTACTCTAGCCCTCTATCAGATGATCGTCCGGGACTTACCTCCAACACCTTCCAAATTCCATTACATTTTCAACCTGCGGGACTTGTCCAGGGTTTACAATGGATTAGTTCAGACAACCCCAGAACGGTGAGCGTTTCAGCCTCTGGTTCTTTGCCTGCTTGGTGATCATATTCCTGATTGTACTTCTTATCAGAGCATGCCAGCGCTGAAGTTCTTCCCCATTCCGGGGGCTTCTAGGTTTTTACTGGAGGTCCAGATTCCTTTGTCTTTAATTTATAGCTCGTTCTGGTGTTTTCCCACGGCTTCCATCTCTTTTTGCTTTTTATAAAAACAAAACAGAACACTAAGGAGAAAAGCAGAACGATGGCATTTATTTATTTATTGTATTTATACCCCGCCTATCTAGTCATTTCGACCACTCTTTAGTGGAAGTAACCTTATGGAAGCAATCTTGATTTTGTGGAGAGGAGATGGGTTACAAACTCTTGCATTTATGAAGGCGACAGAACTTCCTTGGCCCAGTTTGCTGAGGTTTGCCTCCTTTTTGTTTCACGCCAGGTTCCAAACCGTCACGCAGATGGTGAGGGTCTGGAGGAACGAGTGCCTGCGAGTTTTTCACGACAGACTGATCAACGAAGTAGACAAAGCTCTGGTTAGTCCTCGTCTTTTACTCTGGGTAACTTACTATCCCTCGGACGCATGGAAGCCAATGTTTCTGTCCGTTTCACTCTGTTTTAAAATACAGTAGAACCCCCTTGTCCGAGGGATCCGTATCCACTGATTCACTTATCCACAATCTGAAAATATTAAAAGAAAACACCCAACCTATGTGTATATTTAATCATGAAATTACCAGAATGGGCCACTAGAGGGAACCAGAGACCATACTATGTACTGTATAGTATTTGCTATTCTAATATCCCTAATATTCCCTAATATCCACATTTTTCAGCATCTGCAGGGAGGACTTGAAACAGATTCCCCCATGGATACGGGGGGCCCTACTGTAGTTGGTTCGATTGATGGCTTTTTGCTTCTTTTTTGTCTTCTCTTCTATGAATCCTTGGCTTATGCAAGAATAAGTGTAACTACGAATGATTTTTCTGGACTGCGGAATCCAAGCACTTCACGTGTGTATTTTATAAGGCCTGCCTTTTTTTCCTTCGCCTGTCACAAGGTCCAAGGTCATATACAGGCCTTAATAGAAGACTCCGAAGCGTCAGCCAGCCCCAGCTGGTAGCCTGCCTATGGGAAATGGTGCTTCACATAACGATGTTTTCACATAACGATGTTTTGTTTGGAACCAATTAACATCGTTATGTGAGGCACCACTGTAATCCACTTTTTTCAGCATCTGCGGGGAGGACTTGAAACAGATTCCCCCGTGGATACGGGGGGCCCTACTGTAGTCGGCTCAATTGATGGCTTTTTGCTTCTTTTTTGTCTTCTATGAATCCTTGGCTTATGCAAGAATAAGTGTAACTACGAGTGATTTTTCTGGACTGCGGAATCCAAGCACTTCACGTGTGTATTTTATAAGGCCTGCCTTTTTTTCCTTCGCCTGTCACAAGGTCCAAGGTCATATACAGGCCTTAATAGAAGACAATTTCAAGGACGACGTGGAGTACGTCATGCGGGACCCGATTCTCTTTGGTGACTTCAGGATGGCCCTGAACGAAAGCGAACCTCGCGTTTACGAAGACATCCAGGACTACGATGCGGCCAAAGCTCTCTTTCAGGTCTAGAACTGAATCAGTGGGGGGGGGCGTGTGGGGGGATCAGGTGTCATCACAGAAACTTGAAAGTTCCACCTGAAAAGAAATTGGGCTGTAGTAATCCCAGCTATTTCCCCAATCTGTTGTTTTCAGCCAATGGCTCTTTCGATTCAGACAGAGCCTGGAGAAACAACATTTCAGTTCCCTGCGTCCTCCAGCAAGGGACCACTGATTGGGTTCTCGGCTTCTAGCTTAGTAAAGACCAGACTAAGGGATGGGGTGAGCACATTGTGCGCACTGACGTGTCACAGAGTGCTGTAAAATGTCATGGCGCCTGCTTTCGCTCAGCCCTTACAAGGGAGCGTGTCTCATTTTGGGATTGGTTCCTGGAAAGTAGTCTTAATTTGCAAGTCTGATGGTTCAGGCTAGTCGCTTTGAAGAAATCGCACTGCGATTTCTTCAAAGGGGTGAGAATAGGCAGTTTCCCCAGCATCTGACTGGCCCTGAGCTAAGCTTTTAACTTCAACCGTGAAAAAGATGCACTCCCCATCTGTTTCTTCAGACAATCACCTGTGTTTCTTTTCAGAGACTTTAAAACTAAAGCAAATCTCATGTTTACAAAAACAGCCATTTTTCTTTCCATTTTTTTTATAAACCACTGCAACTGAGCGGCACATGTGGACAGAGGAGGTGGGCCTCGGTCAGCTGCCTCACTCTCGTTTTTCTATAGGAATTTCCTGTATGAAGCTTGGTTATAGGGGTAAGACCGCATGTGGGGCTGTACAGACCACCACTTCAAGTACTGTCGTTAAGAGGAAACAGCCCTTCCTTCTCTAGTTTACAAAGTGAGAAAATTCTGGCCTGCCTTTCGGTCCCTTCTGCGAACCACATTTCTCCCTCCCCCCATCTCTTTTGCAGGAAATTCTCGAAGAGTACAATGAGCTGAACACTAAAATGAACTTGGTGTTGTTTGATGATGCTTTAGAGCATTTAACCCGGGTGCATCGCATCATAAGGATGGATCGGGGTCACGCTCTGCTCGTTGGAGTTGGCGGCTCTGGGAAGCAGTCCCTGGCGAGATTGGCAGCCTACACAGCTGGATGTGAGGTCAGGGCATTGTCCGCTTGCCTTTCTCCCTCAATTCGTTTAGGGAGACTCAGACTCGCTTAGACCTTTCTTCCTGAAAAGGAAGGAACTTACAGTCCAGAAGAAAGATAACCCTGCCCCAACCATGCAGATCTTAAATCTGAGAATTGCAGAGGCTGGAAGGGACCCCTATGGTTCATCAGCTCCCTGTCAAAGAGGCCCAACGGGGAATTGAACTTCCAACCTCTGCCTCCGCAGCCAGCGGTTCAGATTAGAGAGCCGAAATCCAATCTTCTGTCTAGAGTAGACCCATTGAATTCACTCAAGCATTGACTTCGAACAGAGCAGTTGATATTGTGGGCCTGTTCTCACTGAAATGCAATGTAGGGAGTGTCCTGAGATGAAATAAAACACATACACCTAAGTTGGTACTTTATGTTTAGATCTTTGAAATAGTTCTGAGCCGAGGATACGGAGAGAACAATTTCCGGGAAGACCTCAAGACTTTATATACCAAGCTTGGGATTGAGAACAAAGTCATGATCTTCCTGTTCACTGATGCTCACGTGGCAGAAGAAGGGTTCCTGGAACTCATCAACAACATGCTGACATCAGGTAAGCTGAGAAGCACGTCCGGTCTTGGTTCCGGATTCTTTAAAGACTTGTAGGTTGTTTAGCCCAACGTCTTGCTAGATGTAGGAACACTCCTATTGAAGAAGAACCATCTGGTTGTATAGGATGAAGAAATAAGGAATTATCCTGAGATGGGTCACGTTACCCTTAGGCTTTTGTGTGATGTTAGAATCATGAGGTCAGGAGGGGGGCCTCGAAGGCCATCAAGTCCAACCCCGCTCAAGGCAGGAAACCCAATCCAAGCAGATCTGGCCGGCGGTTGGCCCATCATTTTCCCTTGAAGGTCTCTAGCGTGGGAGTCTGAGAAGTATCATTTCCCACCTCTGGAATGATCAAATGCGCCACGCCCACCCAAAAGGGCTGGAGTGCATGGTGCATTTTAAGGGAGAATCCCTGCGCACTGGAAAGATTTGAGCAGCAACGTTTCGCTGCGTTCCCAGTAGCCAGGAGGCGTGTTCCCAGTAGCCAGGAGGCGTGTTCACCTATTTAGGAAAGACACATCGGCCGGGCTGTTTCTGCGGTCAGGGATTGTCCTTTGAGCGAAGCCGCAAACCTGACGCTTCATCCAAGCAGATCTGGCCGGCGGTTGGCCCATCATTTTCCCTTGAAGGTCTCTAGCGTGGGAGTCTGAGAAGTATCATTTCCCACCTCTGGAATGATTAAATGCGCCACGCCCACCCAAAAGGGCTGGCGTGCATGGTGCATTTTAAGGGAGAATCCCTGCGCACTGGAAAGATTTGAGCAGCAACGTTTCTCTGCATTCCCAGTAGCCAGGAGGCGTGTTCAGGAAAGACCTATTTAGGAAAGACACATCGACCGGGCTGTTTCTGCCGTCAGGGATTGTCCTTTGAGCGAAGCCACAAACCTGACGCTTGTCCTTCTGGCGTTCTTTAAACAGGAATCGTTCCAGCCCTTTTCGCAGATGACGAGAGAGACAATATTTTAAGTCAGATCACAAACGAAGCCATGAAACTCGGAATTGCGCCGGCCAAAGAAAGCCTCTGGCAGTACTTTGTGAACAAGAGCGCCAACAACCTCCACATCGTCCTCGGGATGTCCCCGGTTGGGGAGACGCTGAGGACACGCTGTCGGAATTTTCCAGGTACCAAACAAACCCATTTCTCCAGCTACGCTTTTCGTAGATAAGATTAAATCGATATTCACTTTTTCAAACACCTTTTTATAACCTCCCTTTATAGGTCTGGTCAACAACACTGGAATTGATTGGTTCCTGCCTTGGCCACCCCAGGCCTTGTATGCAGTGGCCAAGTTCTTTTTAGGTACGTATAGAGCATTTATAGAGCATTCTTGAAATGTAGGCGCCAGGAGCACCTGGCTTTCACGAAGGTCAGTGTGAGCCTTTAAACGACCTGTGACGACATTCGTTTCCGCCGAGGATCCCAGCTGCAGGCTCCATTTGCGAGAGAGGTGGAGCAGAAGAGACGACTTAGATCTCAGCGGATCCGTTACCCATTCCTCTCCTCCCAGAGCTTTCAGCCCCGTGAGGGTTATTGTCCTCCTTAGGCAGACAAGAATAGCAGAGTGGGTGGATTCTGGAGACATGAAATGGCTCGGGAGAGAATAATTAAGATTGCCTTCTCTCTCGCTCGCTTTATCCACCTCCGCTCACGGGGATCACAGCCTGGGTTGGAGACGCTCGTGGGAGTCTTGACCAAATACACCTTTTAGATGGAATAGAAAAGAATATCGCTTACATTCTCAGAGTGAATTTATATTATGTTATAGATGCCAAGGTGGGCCCCTTTGAACCCGAATCTTTCTCTGCTGTGTTTCTACACTGGAATATTGTTCTTTGGATGCCGTTCAGCAGGCCTCTAATGCTTTGATTATTCCCCCCCCCCATCTCTTTGCTAGGGAACAACCCGCTGATTCCATCAGAAAACACAGAGGCTGTCATCGAACACATTGTCACGGTCCATGACTCTGTGGGAATCTACAGCAAAAAATTTCTCCAGAAGCTCAGACGGAGCAACTACGTCACGCCGAAGAACTTTCTCGATTTCATTAACACCTATTCCAAGCTGTTGGATGAGAAGAATCAGTTCATTTTGGGTAACGTGGATTTTGAGTAGATCTTGCTACTGGCGAATCACATCGTGCAAATCGGCCGTTCCCATTTTTAAACATTATTTTATTTATTTATTTTGCTGTAGAGGGTCACATTTCCTCATTGGTGGCCTCATTGGCATGTCACGCACAGTTGGGGACTGGAGTAGGAGCCTCGTGGCGCAGAGGTTCAACTGCAGTCCTGCAGCCAAAACTCTGCTCACGAGTTGGGTTCCGTCGCAGGTAGCCAACTCAAGGTTCACTCAGCCTTCCAGCCTTCTGAGGTCGGTAAGGCTTTGCTTTGATGCGGACAAGGCCACGTCTGCCATGAAGCCACGTGCAGCCGAGAGAGCGATGCCCTTCTCTTGGAAAGAAAGGTGCGGAGAAGCTCCCTTCCATTACAAAGGTTTCTCTGCTTTTCTTTTCCCGCAGCCCAGTGCAAACGCTTGGAGGGAGGGCTGGACAAGCTGAAAGAAGCCACCATTCAGCTCGATGAGCTCAACCTGAAGCTTGCTGAGCAAAGGGTCGTGTTGGCGGAGAAATCAGCCGCGTGTGAAGCTTTGCTTCAGGAGATTGCAACAAACACAGCCATCGGTGGGTGTCCCTCCTCACCTTCTTTGCTATTCGGCCGGCCAGGCCCCCAAACTCAGCCGGGGGGGGGATCGGATCCAGCAATGGGATAGGAGAGCTTTCTGAGATCTCAGGGGTAGTTCAGCGGGTGGCCCAGTTTCATTTACTTTTATGCCTTGGCACGTCCTAAACAATCCTAGAAATTATTTGTGTGTTGAGCGGGTTGTAGGGATCCTGTTCCATACAAATTTTTCCTTATAAATGGCCACTTGAAATATGGTATTTCTGCAAAGGGAAACTAGGACTCTGGTTCTTTCGGTTTACCTCCTGAGCCGTTTTTTCTTTCTTTTAAAAAAACACTGAAATCGTGTTGTTTCACCATAGTTTTCTTTACACACTTTGTTTTTAATGATGTGCTGCTTCAGGGGCTTGCGGAACAGGTTGACGTGAGCCTTGACAGAAATGCCATCCCATAATTCACCAAGCACCACCCTCTATCTAGCCTTGGCCAGGCTACTTTTGTACAAATGTCTTTTCGCCAGGACCGTAGCCACATTAGGCACCGGCCAAGCTGATGTCCATTCTGGGGGGGTGGGGGGGATCAAGCTGAGACGTAGCTCTTCTCCCACCCCTGCAGCGGAGGAGAAGAAGAAACTGGCGGAAGAAAAAGCCAATGAAATAGAAGAGCAGAACAAAATCATTGCCGTGGAGAAGAGGGACGCGGAGACGGCCCTGGCGGAGGCCATGCCCATTCTGGAGGCAGCCAAACTGGAGCTTCAGAAGTTGGACAAGTCCGACGTCACCGAGATCAGGTATCGAAGCCGGAGCTGGTCATCACGGGGAACGGGGCTCCTTCCAGAATGGGATGAGGAACGCAGATGTGTTTGGATAACCCATCCTTCCCGACAATCTTGATTGAGTTTTCCCTCTGTTAATCCTCATCTAAGCTATTACGGTGCCCCCCGGGCATTGATCCGGCTCGTCCCTTCCCCTCAGCAGAAACTGGGGATGGCCCCAGAGCGGCGAGCAAGGTGGGCCTTAGCTGTTAATCCGTGTTCTCTTTCTCAAGAGGCCGACTTGAGCTCCTCTATGCCCCCGTTTCCAGCAGCTTGAGTTCAGTGTCGTTGTAACGAGGGAATTCGACACTTCATGTTCCAAGGATTGGGGGGAAAAAAGAAAGAAAGTCTATAAGAGAGCTGACAGGGGCTGCTGATCAAATCCTGAAAAGCAGCTCTCTCCCGGTGCGATTAGTGTCAAAAGTGGAAACGGGAATCCAGTTTGTTCAGAATTTTAAAAAATGGCAAGACATACAAAGCGAGGGACCTCCCCCCACCAAAAAAAGTTCTGCGTTTGGTGCAGAGCAGCGTCTGAGAACGTCGGCTCTTGTGGGCTCCTGATATCGATGTGTTTTTCAACTCCTAGATCCTTCGCTAAGCCCCCGAAGCAGGTCCAGACGGTCTGCGAGTGCATCCTTATCATGAGAGGCTACAAAGAACTAAACTGGAAGACAGCCAAAGGGATGATGTCAGAAGCCAACTTCCTGCGTTCCCTCATGGAAATCGATTTTGATAGCATTACCCAGGCCCAAGTGAAATCCGTCCGAGGTAAATCGATCAGCAGCAGGGCTGGTG